TTAGAGAAAACTCAGATGTAGGTGATTGAAATGGGTAAAGGAAATTGGGCTGACGAGGATCTCAGGTCAAGGTCAACCCAGAGAAGAGGAGTCAAGTCCTCTGCTCCTTCGAAGGACTGGCCAGATTTGGAAGGTATTGCTGACATCAAGAGCTTTTTCTAGAAACAATGACAGGTGGCTTTCATAAATGTAAACAACGTTGATCTTTTGTTTTGCTTTTGGGTTCTACTCTATGCTCTTACTCTAACATTTAGGTGTTCTCAAAGACTGTTGAGTCACTGACTGTGAGGAGATGGCAAAGGGAATAGGAACACAGGACTGCTTCTATTCAAAGTAGAGAGAAGAATTAGTAAGTCACACCTTTGGATTGGGGAGAGTCTTTAGGGACCAAGAGGAGCTCTGAAAAAAAAAAATACCGGAGCCACAGTGCTGACTAGGAGTCTGAGAGGGGAGGCGCTCGGGGTCCTAAAAGACAGGAAGGTTTCATTCTAATGGGGTATGCAGGAGTACTTTTACCTCAAAGATAATTTTGAGTTATGAATTCCTCATCCTTTAAATAGGAGGGAATAGTCCCCATGTATTTGATGATGTAGTTATTGATGTTATTTGTCTAAGCCAGTTTTCAGTGACTGCCCCTTTGGGTGCCATGTGAAGGCAGAGGCTGGTCCAGGGCTGGAAATGGGTCTAGATAGAGTTGGACCAAGGTTTTCTAAAAGACTGCACCATACCAACCGGGTAGAAACTGTGCCTGAATCTTGACCTGGACAGTGATCGCATGAGTGTGTTCATGTGCTCAAGTTATAAGGTTTGCCATGTTTCACACCTTAACTTACTGCATCTTATTGTGGTGTGTATGTGACACTTCTGAGAGTTGACCAGGAGGTAGCAGGCAATGATTCTTAGTCAGTGGATGAGAAGCAAATCTTTAATTGAGGTCACTTTTCAGGTCAGTCAGAATTTCCACAGCTATTGAGTCAAACAAAGTTTAAAAAGACAAATGACCTAATGAAGTATCAAGTTCTTTAAAAAGACTGGAAACATGAGAACCTGTAGCAGTGCTGACCAAAAAGAATAGTAAATATAATGCCCAAACCCCTCTGAACACCATAAATGGTACGATGGAGTAAAGTTGCTATGGCTAGAAAGGAGAAGGATGGGTCAGGGCATACTATGAAAGATGAGTTTATACAGGCAGCCAGAAGAGGCACATCCTAGCTCAAGGTGAGCAGGATCAGTGCTCCTCCCTGTATTTGTGGCATGAGCACATGAAGCAGTCTTACAAATCTGAAGACTTTTACTCCTTACTTGCATTCTACTTTGAAAGTTTCCCTGGTCCTCTCCAGAGCTATCACTGAAGATGTCTCACCCTCTGGCTATACATACAAAGTTCTTATATCATGGATTCAGAGTTCACCAAATGGAATTTCTTTTTCTTAAAAAATTTGTGGCTTTTGGGCTTGTTTAATACACAGTTTCCAATGAGGTCTCAGACTTTTGAGTTTTCCGAATCCTCTGAAATCTCCCTTAAATGTTACTACGGGCACCTGAATGTAGAGTCAGTCAGTGCTTAGCTCTCCAGGAGGCAAGGTGAAGGGGCAAACGTGTTACAGTCAGGCTGGAGAACCACATGGATGTGTTTGGCTAACAGAGAAAATGTCTATAGTAGCAGAGAGAATCATGAATTTCATCAATCTGATGTATTTAATTATTTAGGGAAGGACTAAATTCTAAAAATAGAGTTGGGTAAATAGAAGTAGTATCAAAGGGTAAAGATACAGGAAGCTTTCGGTCTAGAATAACTTTATTAAGGAAGGAACTGAGGTTATGGCTAAAGTCAAGTGATTCTTCAGGTTTGATAAATAGTTCTCTTTGAGGGTTGCATGGGGATCCAATAAACAGTTCTTGAGTTACATACAACTAATGCTGAGTCAATATGAGCCATACAACTGGTAGTGGCCCACTGGACTGGGTTCTTGAAAGATGCACCAGAAAGGTAATGGTGCTCGAGGAAGACCAACTGGACTTAATATAATACTGTTCACACAGGAACTGGAGACCATTCCTCAGACAAAGTACATGTGTAGTTTGGCCCCAGGGAGTGGAATGTTCCAAGAGTAGTAAGAAAAAGATCTGAGGCAACAATTTGGTCTCTTGATGATTAATCCAATTTTATTTTGACAAGTTTTTTGTGTGTATTAGTATGTGCACATGTGTAGATGCACACAGAGCCAGAGGACAACCTTGGCTATTATTCTTCAGGCCCATTCACTTTACTTTTTGAGACTGAGTCTCTCACAGACCTGGAATATGCCAAGTAGTCTAGGCTGGGTAGCCATTGAGCCATAAGGATCTGCCTGTCTCTGTCTCCCCAGTGCTGGGATTAGATGTGTGTCACCATGCCTGTCTTTTAATTTTTTATGGATTCTGGGGATCTCTGGGGATTTAACTTAGGTCTCTCACACTTTCCAGACTGACCTATCTTGCTAACCCTGATCATTTTTTTTAACATGGCAGAAGAGCCATATAACCACTGTTATAGTTTATTAGCTACGGCTGTACATATGTGATGAGACCTATTATAGTAGAAAAAGAACAGAACAACACAGCAAGCAAAAACACGAAACAGAAACCTAAATTTGAGAACTGTTCTAAAAAGAATGAAGAGTGAGTTCTTCCTCATAGTGGTCACGGAAGAACCTCACCATGATAGGCCCTGGGTGAGACATCTTCAGTGGTACATCACAGGAAGAAAGACATCCTGGGAAGATAAGACATGTGCGTTTAGCAATGGAGGCTGTATCTGTGTGTTTTGATTTATTTACTTTTGGCCTCTGGGTTACCCATTCCCACTTAAATATAAAGTTTGGAGCAATCTGCAACTATAGGAATAAACAGGAAAGCAATCTCATTTTATTTCAAGGAGTCCTCTTAGAGAGGTGGTAAGGCACACATGCCCAACTGCTACACAAAATCATGGAAATCAACAGATGATGAAAATGCTAGCACATAGGAATGGTAGGAATGGAATAAGTTATTGCTGAGCCCTGACTTCAGGGTTAACACAAGAGGACATTTAATGACACAATATGATGTGGAAACACCAGAACAAGGCAGATGTAGGACAGGGGCAGTAATAAACAGAAATGCCACGTGTTGAACACCAGCTACTGGTTATATGGAGTATAGCAGCTCCTAGCTAAGGTAAACTTGCCAAGTGATAGATGGTCATGTTTTTTAAAATATCTGTAGTTATTTTCTCGATTATTCATCCTATGATTATTCGACTTCTAGGAATCAGAAAGATTTGTTCCTGTAGTTCAAATTTACTATGTACTTACTATTTGATATTGGATAGTATATTTGATAGAACTGAAATGATATCAACTGGCTTGTATAATTCAACAAAAATTCAGATTATCAATTCTACCCTTTCCAGCAAAGCACTGGTACACACTAGGTTCATTAAAATGTCCTTCACTTTTTAAAGGATAAAGCTTCCTTGTTTTCTGGAATGTCTTTACAATGGGGCTTGGGCACATTGGGGGATTATAAAAGTTATGATCGGGGGCTGGAGAGATGGTTCAGGAGAGTGAAGAGTTCCTGAGGACCCTAGTTCAGTTCCTGCCACCCGTGTCAGGTAGTCCACAATTGACTGTAACTTCAGGCCTCTGTGGGTAATTGCACCCATGTGGCAAACACACAGTTACTCATTAAAACCACAACAGAAAATAGACCTTAAAAAAAAAAAAAACCTTATGGGGGCTGGAGACATGGCTCAGCAGTTAAGGACACTGGCTCCTGTTGCAGAGGACCTGAGTCTGATTCCCAGCACCCACATGACAGCTAACAACTGTCAGTAACTCCAGTTCCAGGGGAATCAGATACCTCCTTCTGACCTCCCTGGGTGTTCCACTCCACAGGTTCACTTACATACATGCAGGCAATGCACTCTTACACATAAAATAAAAATAATAAATAAAATATTAGGAAAACCTTATGAAGTTCCTCCCTACACAGTCACTACATGTTATGTGTAGTTATTTACTGAATGTAGCTCAACAGGAAAATCAGGCTGAAACTTGGAGAACAAGATTGTGACTATGTCCAGGCAGGTCATTATCCCTATGGAATGAGTAAATGTTCTTTAATTACCTTATTTTTTCTTGAGTCTTTATTTTGAGAAATTACAGACTCCTAGGAAAATTCCAATAACACATGGACGCCTTTATACTCTTCACCTGGAACAGCCAATTACAATTTTCTGCCTTTGGTTTATGAATATACGTAAGTTCTTTAGTAGATTTCAAACACTATGAACATTTGCTCCAAACATTTCAGCATCACTGAGGTATAAGGACATTCTCTCTTTTATGACCTCAACACAACAAATTCAGAATAATGCTGTTAATTTTAAGTCTCTTAACATATTTTTTCAACCATAAACATGTTTCATTGGTGCTTTGTGTAGGTATTATTCTGTGGACATGTGGTGTGATGTTTGACCTCCAGAAAGCCAGAAATTCACAACTTATTCAACAATTGTTCACTTTTAATAGCCAAGCATAGATATGTGTCATTAATTCAGTGAAAACTTTACTATAATGAGTACACATATCTTCTTTTAATAGACTTGTGCAGCACAGCAAAGGATCATGTTTTGCAGAACGTTTTGAACAAAGAGTCACCTACTTGAGAACATATAGTAAAGTCATACATAGGGTCATGGATTTCCCAGTTAGGTCCCCTTGAGGACAGCAACACCAGGAATCCCATGGACCCTCAGAAGATAGGCACTGAATTTTGTATCAGAGGGGTCACAAAGGCAGCCAATCCTTGAAAATGAACAGACATGTTATAAAGGCAAAGAATCTTGACTGGAATTGAAAACGGAGCAAGATAGCTTAATGTTAGTTTTCTAATCCTGAGAATACCACCAGGCGGAGAAGGATGTACCCAGAGCTCAGCAACGCAACACATGGGAAGATACTGGAAGAGATTGCATCATTTTCTTTCATCATCGCATTTGTTAGTAAAAAAATCCATCTCAGCTATGATGGTAGGAGTACTCTACAACCACACAGTGGGACCCCCTGCCACCTTCTTCCTTGTGGGCATTCCAGGTCTACAGTCCTCATATCTCTGGCTGGCTATCTCACTGAGTGCCATGTACACCACAGCCCTCCTAGGAAACACCCTCATCATGACTGTGATCTGCATGGATTCCACTCTCCAAGAGCCCATGTACTGCTTCCTGTGTGTTCTGGCTGCTGTGGACATTGTGATGGCTTCCTCTGTGGCACCCAAGATGGTGAGCATCTTCAGCTCAGGAGACGGCTCCATCAGTTTTAATGCTTGTTTTACTCAGATGTACTTTGTCCATACCTCCACGGCTGTGGAGACAGGGCTGCTGCTGGCCATGGCCTTTGATCGCTATGTAGCCATCTGCAAGCCCCTACACTACACGAGGATTCTCACACCTAAAATGATGCTGGGAGTATGTGTGACTATCATCAGCAGGGCTGTCCTATCTGTGACTCCATTGATTTGGATGTTGAGTCACCTACCTTTCTGCAGCTCCAATGTGGTTCCACATTCCTATTGTGAACACATGGCTATTGCCAAGTTATCGTGTGCTGACCCCATGCCCAGCAGTCTGTACAGCTTGATATTTTCCTCCATTATTGTGGCCTGTGATGTGGCCTTCATTGCTGCCTCTTATACCTTGATTCTCAAGGCGGTATTTGGTCTGTCTTCAAAGAATGCTCAGGTGAAAGCATTAAGCACATGTGGCTCCCATGTGGGAGTTATGTGCCTCTTTTATCTGCCTGGTTTAGTATCCATCTATGTAGCCTGGATCTGGCAGGACAGGGTTCCCCTGCACACCCAAGTGCTATTAGCTGATTTGTACCTGGTCCTTCCACCGACCTTAAATCCAATCATTTATGGTGTCAGGACCAAACAAATACGGGAGAGAATATGGAGATTGCTGACGTGTAATCCCAGACAGGGTTCATGAGCACAAAACTCTTCAGATGGTTAGATTTTCAGAGAAGTGCACATTTTAGAGATGCTGAAGTGGGATTGCTTTACCTCTCAGTTAGAAATTCAAGATGAAGTTGTGAAGGTTATGTTTGCATAAATTTTCAGTTTTTAGCAAGATATTATGAATGTGGGATGACTGTGATATTCTGACATTTTTAATGGCTGCATTTAACTTAAAATGCATGAGAGAATCCAGACTTGGGGTCATAGGGCAACACCTGATTGGCTATATGCAACAGGTGGAGTCTGTAATTCTTCTACCCTTGCCTTAAATTTGTTACTAATCACAACTACTCCTATACTATTTCCACTATACTTTTTCCACTTGTAGTGAGCTATTCCTGTACAATTTTCCCTGGCATAGACACTCACTCCAAGGTCCAATATGTAGTCTTAATTTCCTTTCATTATATGACTCCTAAACTGGCTTCAGTCTAGTGTGATTCTTTCTCCCCACATCTCTCTCTTGTAACCTCAGAGGAAGGTAGAATGTTATACAGTCACAAAAACGATGCAGATTCTGCTGGTGGCATCAAAAAATCCAAATTTAACCCTAGTAGCTGGTGGGTGGGCTCTCCTTCCTCATCACTTTCCTCCTCCTTCCCTTCCTCCTCTTCCTTCTCTCTTGCTGTACTTTTTATTTTCTTTCTTGAGCTCAGGACCCCATCCCAATCCATAGACAAGCACATATAATCGGATGTACAATATAACTCTTTGGCCAGGGTGCCGCTGACATGGGTTTTCTGTGTAAAGGGCTCTAGACTGTTAGGACGGGCCCTAGGAAACAAAGGTTCTGCTATATAGATCTTGGATGCACGTGGCAAGGTGGGATGGGTGCCAATTTCAGAATGAACAGTTTGCCTTCCTCTTTCCCTAGAAAAAAGAACAAAGGTGTGGGATGGATTTCTGATCTTTACAATATCTCTTTGAGGTAGGAGAATATGTCAATATGTGCAGGTTTACACCCACTTTTCCAATGGGGATACTTAAAACCTCTCAAACACATGGGATGTTTCGAACCCAAATGTAACAGATGGCATGTAGACTTTCTTCTTGTGAAGTGAGTTTGCCAATTTTGTTTCACTTGAATGTGATATCATTTTACATCTTTTATACTCTTCTTACCAAAGCTTTCTAAGAAAAAACTCAAGGCAGTTGTTGCCTCACTGTGATGGGCAATCCTGGGTGCCATATGACTGGATCTAGGATTAACTGAAATGAAATCTTCTTAATTGGATCATTTGAGGCTGGTAGACACTCCCTAAATGTGGGTGTTACCTTCCGATGGCAGCCTGTATAAAAGGCCACGGTGGAGAATGCCGGGCTTCTTGCTACTTGCCTTCTCTCTCGTTGGTGAGTTCGTCTTGCTGCTGTAGACTGAAGACTAGATGATCTTTTGGAATTCATCAGACCTTCAGCAACAGATTGGGACTACTGAGACATCCAGCCTCATGGACTGAGCGACTATGGATTCTCAGCCTCTCCAGTGTGGTGCAGCCACTGTTAGACTACATGGACTCTATCCTGTGAACTAAGCTGATAAATCTCTATACATATATATTCATTCTACTGGTTGTTTCTTTGGAGAACCCTGACTAATACAGATTGTGGTACCAGGAGTGAGGTATTGCTGTGACAGACCTGACCTTAGTGTTTTAAGGATTGTGGAAGCGTTTGGAACTTTGGACTGGAAAAGCCATTGAGTGCTTAGTTTGTTGCTGTGGAGCTTGGAACAGTTATGCTGAAAGACGATGAAGGCCTGGGCCTGTGAAACTTCAAAGGGAAGCGGAGACTATTAGGGCTGTTTGCATGATATTTTGAATTGTGAATCTGTGGGTTCTGGTCAACTGGGGCTGAATAATCAGCTGTGATTAAGAAGAGACCAGAACCTGAAGTAAGGCCTTTGCTTTGCTGGGACAATTGATGCTGGTTAGCTGGGCCTGCAAGATCAGCTGTAAGTAACAAGAGACCAGCATCACTGTAGTGAAATCTTATGGGAGGTATTTCCTCAGGGTCAGCACACAGAGGGGACCTGAACCTCTATCTCTAGCTAGAAGCAGGACTTGGTAATGTGTAAGAGTCTCCTGCATGGTTCTTCTGGTGTTGAAAGTGTGAAGGGGTCACAGAGAGCAGCTGAGGCTTGGCACTCTGAGAGGCCATAGGTGAAAGTACAGCTTCAGTTGCAGTTGAAGACCCCAGGATAGAAAGGGTCATGGACAGAATCTGAGGCATTGCACCTCAAGAGGCCAGAAGAGGCCATTGATGAGGGTGCAGCCTCAGTTTCAGTGGAGACCCCAGCTTTTTGGAGATGCCAGGACCATGGGATGACCACCAAGGACAGCAGTAGGTGTGGAATGGAGCTGGCCTGTGTCTGCGAGTCAAGCTGTGTGTGTTGTGGACAGCAGAGTCAGAGCAGTGGAGCTGCCAGTACCCTTTGGAGCCCAGAAGATCATGAGTGAATCCCAGATGTCAAGCCTTGAGCTACTTTGCTGGACTTTGGTTTTGATTAGGTGTACCTGATTCTTCCCTTTGAAATAAGACAGTACTTGCTTTGGATTTTACGGAAGCCCACCCATAGTAAGAGACTTTTAAAAGAGACTATGGACTTTTAAGTGTTTTGATTTTTTAAGGACTGTGGGGTTTTTAAGGTTGTATTATCTTATGTTGTGATATTAATGTTAACATTATATCTTGGGGGCAAGACTTGGAAAGGTTATGGTTTAATGGTGATGTTTTTGTGTGTCAAGTTGACAAGGGGTCAATTGTGCTGGATAGCTTTAGTGTCAACTTGACTCACCTGGGTTGAGGGAGCCTCGATTGGGGAATTTCCTTCATTGGCCATATCCATGGGGCATCTTCTTGATTTTTGAGTGATGTGGGAGGGCCCAGCCCACTGTGGGTGGTGCCACCCCTGGGAAGGTGGGCCTGTGTTGCATAAGAAAGCAGGCTGAGCAGGGGCCAGGGAATCAAGTAAGCAAGCAGCATTCCTCCTCGGCCTGTGCTCCAGCTCCTGCTTCCAGGTTCCTGCCCTGAGTTCCTACCTTGGACTCCTGGATGAACTGCGACCCGGGATACATAAGCTAAATAAACCCTTTCCTTCCCAAGTTGGTATTGGTCAGAGTGTTTTGTTACAACAATGGAGAAACAAACTAGGACACTCACCCATAAAAAAAAACTAAAGATTGCAAGTTTTGTGATCCTACCTCTTAGAGAAAAGGCAGACCTAGAGCACAGGTCTGGCCTCATGCTCAGGGAGGGGATGTGGTGAGTGCCTGGGTAAGTTCTGTACTCTGTGCTGAGGTGTTTCTCTAGTCAGGAGGACAGGGCAAACCACTGCCTGGACTGCGGCACCCTCTATCTGCCTTCAGCACAGCCATGAGCTCTGGATATGTGCATTATCATTTTTGCCTCATTGGAAAACCTTAAAAGCTTTTCTGAAGTCTGGCTCCACTTCATCACATTACTGACTTCATTGTGGAGCCAGCAGGGAGTGCGTATGATCTACAGAATGGATGACATCCATCAATCACCATGGATTACAATGCTCAGCTTACTCAGAGTCTGCTTTTCTATGAGTGGTTTATTGACAGATTTTTGCTAGTAACAAGAGACCACAGGGTCAGGTGAAGGTTCTAGGGGACAGCATCCTCCAACAGGCTCACATAGTAGGCCACATTCCAATACTAGGTTAGGATGGTGGCTCTCCTAGTCCTCTCCATCCAGGGAGCAGATGGTCAGAGGACTGGTGTTGTTGGTGCCGATGCTGTAGCAAGGACTAAAATAGGGCAAAAGGTGCCCAGGGAAGGGAGAATGGGGAAAAGTGAAGATGTGCGAGCCACCATCAGTCACATTATAGAAGGAGATATCATGGGCCTCATAGTCTAGGAAGACTCCTACCTGGTGGGGAGGGACCAAGACAGGCAGGAGTGGGTAATCATCGGTGCCTGCCCGGTACTCTGTTCCCTTCCTCAGTCTTATGACCCAGAATCCATAGTGGGGGGATAAATAGACCACCTCCTTCCGGTCTACGTTTTCTTCACACACTCCCAGGCCCCATTCAGACCTGTTTCCAACCTCTACTTCCCAGTAGTGCCTGCCTGTGGAGATGCACCGGCTGCCCAAGACAATGTTGTATCGGTAAAATCTCTCAGGATTGTCAGGCAGGTTCTGCTGAGTGTCTCCATAGCGCACGCTTCTTCTGTCTTTTGACACAATGAGGCGGGAGTAAGCTGTATCTGGATCCAGGCGAACATCGACTAGGAAAGAAGATCCTGGTTGGTTAACACTGATGCTGAGCAAGGGGTGAGTGGTGGGGGGGTCCCTGATAAACACACAGTTCTGAGTGATGGGTTGGTAAGGCTAGATGAGGCATCCAGAGTGCTGAGCCATTTTATCTCTATGAATGGAGTCCCTCCCATTGCACACCACAATCTCCCAGCATCTATTACCTGCATATGACTTCAGGATCTCTCTTAGCCCCCGCACATGGCAATCTGTCTTCAGCTCCAAGGAGACAGGGTCTGGCCGCTGTAGGCTCCAAGATTTGCTCCTGTAGAAGAAGGTGAGCTTTGGGTCTAGGATACCTGGCTCTGTCACTTGGGCCTTCCCTTACTTCAGGGAAGAGTGACTTGTCCCAAGACTCTCAGTGAGATGCCATGCCAAGCAAAGCAGAGATGTGATGATTCTTGTTGAGACTCTATGCAACAGGGAGATCAGGACTTTCACAACTGCATGCTGTGGGAAAGGCTGAATGTGCTACAAAGGAGAAAGGCTGATACTCAAAGCTGGGAGCTGCAGGTAGCCTTCTTCCCTCATTGAACCATTTACTGGAAATGACATCCTCCATGAGTTGTACCTGGGATTCTTACTGGTAATACCTGAAACAAATTCAATTAAGTACAAAAGGAGCCATTAACAAAGCTTTAGCCATCATAATGTAAGAAGGTGGGCCAGCACCTGCTTTCGAAAGGTCCCGAGTCTACATCCCTTTTCTACTTCTGGCTTTGGTAAGGCCCCTCTATCCCCTGTAGGACTGCTCAGAGGTTCTAAGGATGGAAACATACCTGTTTAAGGCATCTTGAATACCCTAGAAAGAGAAAAAAAAATGTGGCACCATGAGTGTGCTGTTCCCCAGAGAGACCAGACAGACACTAACTCAGGTAGGGGTTTCTCAAAGGGAGATAGACTGTAAGGCTGGAGAGAAGCAGTGCAGAGGAGATGCTTATGAGAGGGCAGCAGGAGACTTGGTTAGACTGAACTTCAAGATGTCCAGGATGGAAGGGATTGGAAGGCTGTCAAGCTGCCCAAGTACTTGGTATTCTCCTATCCTGGCTGGATGGATGCTCTGTCTTATGAGACTATTATGGGTTAGGTCATTGATCCAAGCAGGGACAGAGCAACAGGTATTATTATTTAGGGCATAAGGGATCCCCAGCTATTGGGCAGTGTGCTGACAAGCCCCATGAAGGACAAGCTAATTCTCTGTCCTGGAGACTGAGTCTCAGCTCTCACTCAGAAGCCCCAGGAAAGGCTGCTATCACCTGTAGCATCCAGTGGACAGGCTTTTGGGACCTCTCTTCCAGCTCTGCAATCATCCTCCAGAGGACCTGGCTCTGCTGGATGAGCTTCTCGTGACTCAGCTCCAGTTTACTTTTCGTCACCTCCTCCTCCTGCTCTAGGCTGGCGAGAGCTGCAGCTGCCTCTGCCTCCACCTGCTGACCTGGCAGCTCTTCTTCCTTTAATAACTGCTGATATTTCTTATACTCCTTTATGATGTTGTGCTTTCGTGTCTCCACCTGTATCTGTGGGGTCAAGATCGGGTTCAGCACTGTTATCTTTAGTGAAAGGGTCATGCAGGATGGAGGACACTGGCACGCACATATGTAGATTACGGAACTGCTTTCGTAAACCATGTTCTGAGCACTTCAGAGGCAAAAATAAAAGACCCCATTTTTCCTGCCTTCCTGCATCCCCAGGGCATTATTTTGTGTCACCTTTACAGAATGAAAGGTGGAGTATTTTCTTACACAAAATGCGTGAGAACAGAAGTATTTCAAACCCAAGTCTAAACATGGATTTTATTTATGCTTCAGGGGTATCTTGGACATGTAGTATGAAGTGTGCTTGAATTCTGAGTGTCATCTATCATGAGGTAATTGTTGGTATCATGTTGGGTGTTAGAAACTTCTGGAATTTGGAGCACTTTTCGTTTCACAATTTTTCCAACCTGTACTACTCTTGTCAACCCCAGTAGGAGCCAGGAGATTATTTTTCCTTTTTTTACTTTAGAAAGTAACCCAGCATGGAGTCCTGGCTGACCTGTTATTCACTATGTAGATCAGGCTAGACTTGAACGTGTGGCAATCCTTCTGTCTTTGCCTCTCAAGTGCTAGATTATGGGCTTGTACCACCATTCTGGTACCAGGATATTATCTTGGTATGATAAGATCCAGACTACCTTCCATTTTCAGAATAATGGCTGGATGGGTTACAGTTAAGAAGGCAGTTAACCCAACTATTTGCTAGTTTTAGTTCTTGGTGTTTTTATGTTTAGTGTGCTGTTTTAGATCACTTTGATGTTACTTTCTCTTGACAAAAGGTTCTGACAGTTTCATACCTATTTGCTTCCAATATATTTCTGGGGTGGTTTTCTAATATCTAGATAACCAAACTCTTAGCAGTCATGCTCCAACTAGGGAAAGTGAAACTGAAACTGTTTTAGTGGCATTATACAAGTCACACTCCCATGAACCAATGTGGGTGTGAGACACACATTTTTCCTTCCTCATACATGAAGTCATGCGATCAGAAGTTGTTGCTACATCACAGTCTATTAGCTGGAACTAAGAAAGGGGAAGCTGGTATTAGGACCCCAGGTTCTCTGCCTCACAAAGATGAGGAAGTCCCCAGTGCCAGCTCTGGTGAGGAGAGAGATGACATAAACCCTGTTTCCCAGGTGGAACTTGCCTTCCAGTTGGCAGCTCGTTCCTTCTCACTAACTTGTAACTTCCAGGCCTCTTCTTGTTCCTTCCTGAGATATTCCAGGGCCTCATGGAGCTTCCACTGCAAGAGACAGAAAGCTCATGATACTACCTCAGGTATTCTGTGCTGACAAAGAGGTTCCTAAGGTTGGTAGATGGGAAAACCCATGTCCCTCAGGCAACAGGCTGGAATGAATGCTAAGAGAAAAAGGCATGCCACAGAGGGCACAGACTCTGCCCTCACGACCCCCAGGGTAGGTCTCTGGGCTGAGAATCATCTTGACCCCCACAGTCCCCAAGTGTCTATAAAGGTCCACCACCTGATTTTCTAGGAAAAGAATATTTTGTACTTTTCTACCCATGACTATTTTAATTCTTATCTGTTTTCTCTATGGTTTCTTGGAACCTTGATGAAAGTGTGGTCTAAGGTCAGCAGCATCAGCACTGCCTGGGAGTTTTACTAGAAATGCAGAATCTTGGGCCTCTCCCTAGGCCTATCAAATGAGAACTGGAATTTTAGCAAGATCCTTTGGTAGTTGAGATAGACAATAAAGGTCTAAAGCACTTTCCTAGAATAGGAATTCAAAGCCTCTCTATTGGAAAGCCAATAGTATTTAGCATTACTTTAAATTTTGATAATGATAACAATTTTGTTAAAGAACTTTAAGGTACCAGATATGGCTTAGCATTACACAGGCACTAACACTGTTGTTGTTTGAATGTGAAATGTCCCCCATAGGCTCATGTGTCTGAACACCTGATCCTCAGCTGGTGGCACTGTTTGGGAAGGTTGGAGAACTTTTAGGAGGCAGAGCCTGGATGGAAGAAGTGAAACACTGTGGAGTGGCCCTTGAGGTTTTATAGCCTGGCCTCACTTTCTGTCTACCCTCTGCTCCCTAACTACAGGGGTAATGTGACCAGCTGCCTATTGCTCCTGCCACCATGACTTTCCCACCATGATGGACCGTATCCAATCGAACTGTAAGCCAAAGCAAACCCTTCCTCCATGAAGTTGCTTCTTGTCAGGCATTTGGTCACAACAATGAGAAAAGTAACCAATACAAATACAGTCCCAGATGTTGATGCCATTCCCATTATACAGATGTATCCATTTATGAGTCTTAAGAGGAAATACTTAACCAAAAGATGATTTCAGTATTAAGGATTTGAAGCAGATCAGTTTGGTTTTAGTTGGAGTTTTTGGTAACTTAGAATGCATTTACACACAAGGCTGTTATTTATTAGTCAAGAGCCTGCAAACTTCTCTTAGCAGGGGGCCACACGTGGTTATTACACATGGGCTGAGTCACTTTAACATCTTTATTTTATAGACAAAATTGAGGCTTAGCAATTTGGGATCATGATTTGGGAGCTGGAAAGGACCATAGGTGAGTGACTTCTGTTTAGAGAGTGACTTATCTGAAGTTATATAAGTAGTAAATGACTGGGCTGGGAGTCAACACAGCTCTTAAGTTCTCTGTCATAACTCTAAACTGTCTTCATATTCTACCTAGAAATAAATAATTACACATTTTTAACATTTTAGACATTTGCCACATAGAGAAAAAGAAGAATCAATTTAGGGGATTTGCCTTATATTCTTAACTTTTAACCTTTAATTTAAAGACAGAACAAGATCATTGTTGACTAAAACACTTGAAAAATTGTTTCTGACAATGATGTGCCATTGTGGACATCTGAGAAAAGAGCAAGGGGAGGCTGAAAACTGTCCAGGGCGGCCATAAGAACAAGCAGGATGGGCAAGCAAGATGCTTTATTCCACACTGGGGGGAAAGAGACATGGAGAACAAGAGAGAGCTCTGGTCAAAGAACAAGATCCATATTCTAGATGCTCATCTCCCTTTAACTATTAACCTAAAGTCAGAAGAGATATGAAGATAGATATACTATGAGTATCAAGTCATGTTTAGTACATAAGCACATCTGGCACTTGACAAATCAATCCTAAGTGACTCACCTACAGTCCTTTCCTGCTCCAAAGTCATGATCCCAAATGACTAAGCCTTAGCTTTGTCTATAAAATGAAGATGTTAATACAGTGACTCAGCCAATGTGTAATAATTGCATGTGGCCCCTTGCTAGAGGAAGCTTGCAGGTTCTTGACTAACAAGTAACAGCCTCAAATGCAAAATCATTCTCAGCCCCCTAGAACTCCAACTAAAACCAAACTGGTTTGCTTCAAATTCTTAATGCCCAAATTATCTTTTGGTTAGGCATTTCCATAAGACTTGAGATGGGATATGGAGAAAGTGGGAGAGAAGAAGATCAAAGAAGGTCATGAGGCTGGGCATGGTGCTTTAATCCCAGCACTCCAGAAGCAGAGGCAGGCAGATTTCTGTGAGTTCAAGACCAGCCTGGTCTACACAGTGAGCAACAAGACCAAAAAAAAAAAAAATCATGAAATACAGGAAAAGATACATTCCAGAATGTTAGATCCAAGGACCTGTAGCTATTAGGAGCCAAGGAGATCAGTTCCCAAGCACTGATATTCAAATTTTGATAATGGCCAAATTGAGGAAAGGCTGGTGTGGCGAGGTTCTGTGTCTGCTTTATACCTTATACTCCCAGGCAACATCCTTATAGGCACAACACTGTGGGCTTCATGCTCTGGACACTGGCAACAGACCTTGCAGGCCATCACACCATCCTCTTTGCAGAACATCTTCAGTTGTTCCTTGTGGAGCACACACATGTCAGCCTGCAGTCCCATTTCTGTACATAACCCTAGCAGACGGACTTTATCTACAATATTGGCCAGCTGCCAAGTAGGCCGCAGGTTTCTTGGCTTCACAGGAGCTCGACAAAGGGGACAGGTGTAACTGCAATTCTGGGATTGTCTTAGGACATCCCAGAGTCCAGAGAGACAGCTGTGGCAGAAGGTGTGGCCACAGTCAATGCTCACAGGTTTCCTCAGGAAGGTCATGCAGATAGGACAGTTCACTTCCTCCACAATGGCTCCCATTAAGGCTGCGAGATCCATGGTTCCTTCTTATTAGGCCGCAGGTTTCTTGGCTTCACAGGAGCTCGACAAAGGGGACAGGTGTAACTGCAATTCTGGGATTGTCTTAGGACATCCCAGAGTCCAGAGAGACAGCTGTGGCAGAAGGTGTGGCCACAGTCAATGCTCACAGGTTTCCTCAGGAAGGTCATGCAGATAGGACAGTTCACTTCCTCCTCCACAATGGCTCCCATTAAGGCTGCGAGATCCATGGTTCCTTCTTATAATCTTCTCAGAACAGAAATGGAATCAGGGAGAAGTACTGAAGGCTGCGAAGAATAAAAGAAAATCAAACGAAGATAACTGCCGAACAGTGAGTTTAGTTAAAAAACCGTGACTGAAAAAAGTGCCCTTCCTTTGGAGACTTTACTGACCATGTTTAATACATATTGGCTGCAACTGGCCATCACTGGGCCACATCATTCACCACTGAAGGCACATGCAGGGAGGCCCAAAGGACTGGATTTAGAGAATTCTCAGTTTTATTTGCTCAATTCTGACTCTCCTCTGAGTTTGCTCTAGCAGACTATTCCCACTCTAATCATGCTCTGGAAATCAGCAGTTTCTCTTGGACTAGGACAAGTTCACATAAAATGTGGAGTTTCAGCACTCAGAAAAAAGGCACAAAATACCTCCAGCATTACTGTTCAGTATGCTTATGTGTACATTTACATACTTCAAGGAACAAAAAGGAAAGGCCAGAAGCCCACTGCTTATTATATATTCAACTTGTTTTCTTAGGATGAACACTGCCTAAAGCCGACAGACAATAGAGGTTGATGTCTATTATCTAAAGCTACACAGAGAAACAGAAGATCCAAAATAGCAATTAAAAATTGGGAAGACACTGGTAATAGGAAAGCGAGGCAAAGAAACATGGAAATGAGAGCTCATGAAACGTGGTGGAAGCACATTTATGTCAAAAAAGGATGCTAACAAGGAAAGCTGCAAGTGCAAAGCTTTGGGGGTGGATAGCTGTTGTTCTCCAACAGAAGACTGCTAAAACATTCTTTTAAAAAAATATTTATGGGGCTGGAGAGATGGCTCAGCAGTTAAGAGCTTTGGCTGCTCTTACAGAGGACCTGGGTTTGGTTCCCAAGCACCCACAGAGCAACTAACAACCATTCAGTAACTCCGGTTCCAGAGGATTAGATGCCCTGTTCTTACCTCTGTGGGCACTGTACCATATGGGTGCACTTACACACATGTAGGCAATATACTAAAACACATAAAAGAAAAATAATAAAATACTTAAAAAAATAATTTATGTGTTTTGCCTGCATGTATGTCTATACCCGTGTCAAGCAATGCTGAGGCCAGACAGTGCGACAAATGCCCTGCAACTATTTTACAGTCAGTTATTAGCCTCCCTGTGAATGCTGGGAGCCAAATTAGGGTTTTCAGCAAGAATAGCCAGTGCTCGTAACTACTGAGCCATCGCTACAGTCTCTAAAACATCCTTTTATCGTGACATAAATTACTTTACTTATTAAAGTCTTACTTTAATAAGACTTAAAGGCTCAGGCGTATTCAATCTGCAGCTGAGGATAGCTATGGATGCAAACCAACAAAAATCATAAACTTATTTAAAAATATGCTTCCTTTGTGACTTAAAAAAAAATAACTGGACAGCTCTGTTCTTCAGAACGAAGTCTGTAGATGACAACTTGGACTGCAGTGTCAAAAGGTTAAACAGAACAGGTAGATGCTTCCATGGCAGAACAGAGGGGAAGGACAGGTTTTGGCAGGGAGGAGGCGGAGCCTGGACAGACTCCCTCCGGAAGCTGGTGCCGAAGGGGAGAGAGCCCAGAAGGGGGAAGCAGGGCGGCGAAGGGCGGGCAGGGCTCTACGGGCGCTGGCCAGGTCCCAGGGGAGCGGCTGGGGTGGCGGCAGGGGTGCAGGACCCACGTGTTCCGGAGAGGCCCGGCTGCCCGCACTTCTCCCCAGCAGCTGCTCAGCGGGCGGAACTCGGAAGTGAGTACGCAGGCTCCCGGTACCACACACAGGCAACAGGTCACTTACCGCCCGAGGCCAGGGGGACCAGCACGCGGCCAGGCCCGGGCAGGGCGGTGCAGCCTCCACCCAGCTTCAGGATCGGCTCCACGCGGGAGCTGGGGAGCCACAGGGAAAGTCCTGGGCCCCAGGCCTGCCCAGCGGATGACGTCATCACAGGAACACCCAATCACAGACAGGCATTCAGCCAACCTTAGCCTATGGGAGATAGAGACCGAGCGCTGGCCTGCTCTGCGCCTCCTGGCTTGCTTGGTGTTGGCTTCAGCACTTTCCCCCACTTGGAGCCGCTAATTGTCAGAGCAGGAGTCGGTTCCAGGACCTCCGGAAAGGTTGAGGTTCTGCATTAAGAACGGCCCGGTTGGTTGTTCATTTGCGTTTCCCATGTTGAATTTTCTGTAGCCTCTGAGTTTAGCTAGGTTTGGGTCTGTGACCCAGCTGTGTGACTAGTGGTCACACGTGCATTGAAATCTGTGGTTTCCCCACAAAACATGCAGTCTGTCATGGCTCCAGGTTTCAGACACTGGGCTTTTATTAATAAAAGCTCCTGGTTTTCCTGGTGAACTCTTACCCTTCCGTAATTCTGTAGGTAACTCCTCATCGCTATTTCAGCAAACTAGTTGCAGAGCTAGAGGCAGATACTAGGGAATGATGGGGAAGAATTCTTGATCATAAGCTGCCATAAAAAGAAATCTTTTAAAATAGCATGCACCCTCTGCCTCACTCAGTCACACAGACACACATGACAAAACCGAAGGCTGTGAATCAGTGACCTGGGCTTTTCTTTGTGTTCCTAGGGCCTTGTTCTTTTTCTGATACTTAGACTTTAACTGAATAAACAAGTGAAGGCGCACCCTGCCTGCATAGAAAGTAACCAGGACATCCTCTCATTGAAGTGTAATTCCAATGATGCTTTTATTGTTAGGACCCACACTCTTTGAATCTCATGCTAATGCAATGGTTAAAATTCTGAATGGTGAGGCCCAGAAAATTCTTGAAAATAAATGAGGTCTCATAAGCGAAAGAGGAGGAGAATGGAGAGGGGGAGGGGGATGGAGAAGGAGGAAGAGGAGGAGCCGAGATCTGAGTTGGGTTTGGAAAAATGGCTGTCCTAACTAATGTAATAGTGAACAGGTTACTTCAAATCAGCCATATAAAACATTTATTAAGACTGAATACAAAAAGTACAGGAATTACAACTAAGGACCACATAGTCTTTGTTTTTAAGGAACTCAAGTTCAAGTGAAATTAAAATAGTTAATGGGAAAGCTTTTTTCACATGTAAAATGGAAGTCTATTTCACATATAACTTGAAATGTGTCTGTGTATGACTGACTCTCAAAGGCTCTGGTAACAGGGTATTTTAGGGTTGCTGGGGCAAGAGGCTTGTGTTCATGAGGGGAAGGCTGGATATAAGCTTTGGAAGATAAAATTTCTTCCTTATATACAAATATCTCTCAGCCTTCCTGAGAATGCCTCTATGAAAGGATAACAGGTATGTTCAAGTGAGTGTCTGTCTTGAACAAATTTCATGACTATAGCCTTGAATCTAAGTCTCTGCCTTGAATATAAGACAGTCCAGAACAATAGATAAACGACTAACTACGGTGCCTCTCTGTGCTCTTAGGGAGGAGTGTCACCAAAGGAAAAGTGAAGACTGACAGCTAGTTGGAGGCAGGGAAGGAGGCGCAGGTGTTGAGAAGGAAGGACTGAGGAAGGGTAGAGATCTAGCACAAGTCTTTAGAGCTTGTCATACTGGAAGGAAACACACCTTGCAGCCTTCTGTGCTGAGAGAATTCCAATTTGCTTCCTCTCAGTCTCTCTGAGAATGTGTACCACAATCTCACTACCTAAGTCTTGAATTTCAGCAGGGAGTGAGACAGCCACCTGGGGTAGTGGCACAGAAGTCAACAGAACTTGCTTGAGGTAGAAGGGGGATGCTAAGAGGGGTTAAGACTAGATGGTGGGCAGATACTTCACTGAAAGTGTCCTCACGGATCTCCATCTATTACAGTGGCATTAATACTTCACCATGTGGGTGCTGGGAATTGAACCCAGGTCCTCTGCAAGAGCAGCTGGTGCTCTTAACTGCTGAGCCATCTCTCCAGCCCCCATTCTTTGACTTCTTTTGGTTAACTTCTGAAATTATTTACTCCTTGTGCCCTCTTGGTGTTTTTAACCTCTTTAGTTTGAAATATTCCTCCTAATTTCATCTGTAGAGGTGGCTTATTGAACATAATTTCCTTAAGTCTGTTTTTATTGTGGAAAGTTTCTACTTGTTGTCTATGTGTATGAGTGTATTGCCTCCATGTATGTAAGTGTACCCATGCCATGCAATGCCTACAGAGGTCAGAAGAGGCACTGGATCCCCTGGAACTGGAGTTACAGATTGTTATTAGCCACTATGTGGGTGCTGGGAGGTGAACCCGGGTCTTCTGCAAGAGCACTCAGTGCTCTTAACTGCTGAGCCATCTCTCCAGCCCCCATTCTTTGACTTCTTTTGGTTAACTTCTGAAATTATTTACTCCTTGTGCCCTCTTGGTGTTTTTAACCTCTTTAGTTTGAAATATTCCTCCTAATTTCATCTGTAGAGGTGGCTTATTGAACATAATTTCCTTAAGTCTGTTTTTATTGTGGAAAGTTTTTCTTTCTCCTTCTATTATGACATACTTTTGCTAGGTATAATAGCCTTTGTTGATAGCTATGGTGTTAAAAATTTATAGAAGATCAGTTCATGCTGTCTTGGTTTTCAAAGTCTCCATGAAAGTCAGGTGTTACTCTAATGTTCCTACCTTTATATGAGACTTCATCTTTTTTTTCAGCTTTTAGTATCCTTTATTTATTCTGTAAGTTTAGTGTTTGATTATTATGTGGTATAGGGTGTTTTTATCTGGTCCTGTCTATTTGGACTTCTGTATCTGTTTATCTGGTCCTCTGTATCCCTCTTGCTCTTTATTGATAAATATTTCTTTCCTTAGCCTTGGGAAGTTTTGTTGCATAATTTTGTTGAAAATATTTTCTGTGCCTTGTACCTGGGTTTCTGTGCCTTCTACTATGCATATGATTCATGAGTTTGGGAGGGGTCACTGACCTCAGGACTGGGTTCTGGGATTGAGTATCTACCTGTGGGTGGAGGTACATGAGGAGCCATGCATGTGGTTCTGGTGGTGGCACAGAGGAAGGGGTCTCTGTACTTTTATTTTTTTGAGTTTTATATTTATTACACTTCATTTATTTTATTTATCTTCTTGTCTTAACTTATTGATCTTTAGATTGGTTTTTAGTTCATTTATTGAAGAGTATAAAGTTTTCTACCAAAACTGTAACAATATTTTACTGTCACAACTTACCAAATAAGCTATAAGGACTTTTGAATTTTATTTTCTTCATTTAATTAAAACTTTTCTTTTTTATTTTTCTAGTGTGTGTTGTGTGAATGTGTGTATATTCCTGCTTTGCATGTGTGAGGGCACATGAGTGTGGATGCGTGTGTGTGTGTGTGTGTGTGTGTATGTATGTGAAGGTACAAGACAGATATTGGGAATCATCCTCAGTTGTCTTACCACCTTATTAATGAGCAGAGTCTCTTAGTCAAATCCAAAGCACACCAATAAGGCTAATCTTCCTAGCCACCTTGCTTTGGGTATCCCCTGTCTCTACTTTCTAAAGCTGGAATTCCAGGAGAGCTGCCATGCCAATCTAACATTTATATGGGTTTCGTGGATCTGAACTCTGGTCCTCAGCTTTCACGGAGTATAGTTTAACCACAGAGCCATCTCTTTAGCCCTTAATTGACTTTTAAACATAATAATCTTAAGGCTATGCACTCGGCAGTCTTATTCTGTACATTTTGGCCAATTGTGACTTTCTGTGTTAATTGCCATCTGTTGCATGAGGAAGCTTCATTGGTGAGAGTTGAGAGATGCATTAACCTTCTCTTTACCCCCATTCCATTATGCTTTATAAGCCTTAGATGTAGAGGTGCCGTTGTAGATGTGTCACTTACGGCTGTGCATCTCAAAGACAATTACTCTGTGTTTAACCAGTTGTGACACTCTGTAGTAGTCTCCATCTGCTGCAAAAAGAAGATTCTTTGATGAGTAGTGACAGGTATACTGTAAATATAAGGATCCATATTTAGCACACAGTAAACAATTATGTTTGTCTAGAGATATAGAAGACAGGGTTTTCTCTAGGACTTATGACTTCTCCAGCCCAGAGAATAAGAGATTGCAGAGTGTATGTTCTTGAATAGGACTCCTGTATTAAACCTCTGACACCCAGGGCTCAGGGACCATGGCAGAAGAGGGGGCAGGAAGACTAAGAGCCAGGGATGGTGGTTGACCACAAGGAAACAGAATTCTCTAGACGCCTGGGAACTTGCTCATATGTACTTACAGCAAGTTGGGTAAGCGTGTCCTCTGAGACAGTCATTCCTCCCACCCAATCAGTCAGCTTCAACTGCATGAGGGGAATGTTCTGAGGACAGTTGCTGAGAATACTGGAAAGTGCTAAGGACACTGGAAAGAACTAAGGACACTGGGAAAAAGGATGGGGTAGTTGCTATTGTGGGGACCATGGGTGGGACATGGTGCCAATGGTGCAGATTTCAAATGTGAGAAAGAGCCCATGGGCATGCATGCTTTTTTAAGTGACCCTCTCCCAAATAGCATAAGCTTTGTTGGCAAGCCAAAGTAAATATTCTTATTCCCCAAACTGTGACTTAAGAAGGACATTGTGGTGGTTTAGAACTTGAAAATAAACCTTGTGAGAGAGAAAAATACTGGAGATTTTGACTTGCTTAAGTTTAGGGGACCATGAGTCAAAGGACCCAGGGAAAAAGATAGTAATGAGAAAATAAACAACCTAGAAATGTAAGTAGCTAAAGCTGCCACTCAGATTCAATGTGCTGATAAAAACCTTAACAATACTGTAGCCAGAAGAAAATGTGCCACACTGGGGCTGTTGGGAGTAGGAAGTACTTTCAAACAAGCAATTAAGGAGCCCCTCACCACATGGTCCATGAGGGTATGGGACATGGAAGCAAATGTTATTAGTTTAAGTCCTTTAGAAGCATTACAGCTGAGTTATAGCACCACCCATCCATCCTTGAGTCATAGGCTGCTTAACCTTGGCCAATACAGGGGGAACAGTCCCTAGACATGGCTTGTGTGAGGCATTAAAGATACTTGGTCATCACCAGTGGAGACTCCCACGATTAGTAGGGGCTGGAGGATCATAGAAGAGGGATAGGCGTTACTGAAAGAACTAGGTATAAGGAAAGCAATATATGATGTCCAGTTTGCTGGGTCAGATATGACGGTGTTCACCAGAGGTATAAGAGAAGTCTTAATTCAACAGGGGCCTCGAAAATGGTATGGAGCTTTAATGGTTTTGCTAAGTCCCTTAATGGGACAGGATCTTCGTTAATTGAAGGAGGCTTTGGCAGATCTAAGTGACTCAAACCAGTGTGTAAAATGTGTCTATAAAATAATAGAACAACCTACAAAATATATAAAAAGAACAAGGCAGAAAAGGAGGACCCTTTGGGTCACTCAAAGACAAATGTGGCAAGATTTATGTTGAGCTCAAATTCCTAAAGAAAAAAAATTGACAAAAAATCAAATTCTGTACTAAGGAGTTTCTGGAAGGCTTTAAAATCTGAAGAACAGTTCACAAAAGGCATACAGGGAATGAAAACTGTCCCAGGTGTGGTTAAGGATCCCTAAATATTAAACAAGGAACATTCTGTCCTGAGAAAGCTTATGCTAGGGGTGGAGGCAGTTTTTCCCATCAGGGCCTCCCCCAGCAGCCAGCAATGGTCAATGAAGAGATGGAGAATATGGATAAAGCCAGGAGGCAGACTCAGGGCTGCCTGGCTCAGAGAACCAACAGGTGTAGCAGGGACAAGATGGACCCTCTGCCTCTTTAGCCCAGTGTAGTCAGGCAACTTGAGCCAGCACCCATGCATGTATCAAGGATAAAAAGACACAAAGAAGCTTCATGTAAAATCCCCAGAATGCAGGATGACTCCAAAGGGATAACTGAAGATAGTAAAAAACTAACCAAGTTAATGCCTCTTAACCCTGCTATGGTACCAACAGAGATCAATGGAGAAAAAACTAATACAAATGGGTAAAACCTTCCCATACTGTGTTAGACCTTGTCTATGTTTGATTTAATATAATGTTAACCTCTGAGTGTTTTACAGATGTGAAGCCCATTTCAAAGGTATCAGCTACACCCGAAGAAACAAAGGCCAGATATAGCTGTAAGATTCTTGGGAGATTTATGGTTGGGTAAGACACTAATGATACCTACCAGAATGGTTGGGAAAAGCCCACAACAACCTAATCCTGAATGAAAATAAAAATAAAGGCTCCAAAAACTGTACAACTGTTAAGAAAATTACAGTACCAGGGGTGGGTTGCCCCTCTATGAGCTGTTAGCCAGAGAGATTCTAGAGGTCCTCAAATTCACCAAGGCTATTGCCACTAATGTAGGTTGTAAGGCCAGGTTGCTGAGGACACTGCATGATGTGAGCACGGGAGAAGGAGAGACAGAGCCAAGACTAAGCTGAAAACTCCATGCCACTGGATGGATGGTTTTCATAGTGCCAGAAGGTGTTATGCAGGTGGTTGAGGAAAAGGGATCCCCTATTCTGCTCAACAATGGACTCTGCATTCTGCACATTAGTGACATGCCAAGCAATGCCTGCTGGTGCAATAATGGCTCGACTAACATACGCACAACTGACTATTTCTAATTGACTAAGGCCTGCTCCTAGGAGTGGAACACACATCTGGTGCTGTAGACCAGGCCAACCCCCTGTGTCAGGGAAGGCTGTAGGCCTTAGTGGGGAAGCTGCTGCAAGTATTCTGTTTGATAAATATGGTAAACCTGCTGGGGTATCTTCTAGGCATTTGTATTTACACCTATGTTTGTTTAGATATGCCTGCTTCCTTATGTTTGTCTTTATAGTAGGGGAGACACCACTGAGATGGATCTATGGCCACATCTTGAAAATGAGTCCAATATCTCACCACAATGAAAAGAAAAAGAAATCATCCTGCCTCGTCACCCCCTCCAAGGCTCAGGGACCCTTGTGGAAGATTGGTGGAAAGATTGTGAGAGCTGGAGGAAGGGGAGTGTTGGGTAGGCATGTCCTCTGAGATAGTCTCCCACACAACCAGTCAGCTTCAATTGCATGGGATGGGCCTAAGGACAGCTGCTGAGAATGCTGGAAAGCACTAAAGACACTGGAAAATGCTAAGTACCCTGGGAAAAAGGTTGGGATAGTCATCACCTTGGAACGCAGCATGTGGGACTGCCAGTGGGACACAGTGTCAATTGCGTGTCTCTCAAATGTGGGAGAGAAAGAGCCCATGGGTATGCATGCCTTTGTAATTGACCCTCTTCCCGATAGCATAAGCTTTGTTGGCAAGCCCAAATAAATATTCTTATTCCCCTAACTGTAACTTAAGAGGGACATTGTAGTGGATTAGTCATTTGGCATTAGAACCACGCTCTCTATGGCCGAGAAAGCACGTGGGTCTGGAGGTGGTGGTGGAGGGGAATTTGGTGCAACAGATGGCAGCATGCACAAGACCCATGCACACTCAAACCGGACAGCAATCTAACACAGAACCTAAGTAATGGATAAGAAGCCCCAACATTACCTGAAGAACTATTGGCAGCTGATTACTGCTGGGTGAACAAGAGTTTGTTTTCTTGAAGGGAGTGATGCTGGATAGACTGACCAGGCTCCAGCAGCTGGAGTTATACTGAGGGACAGCTCCAGACACAAACTTGACTTGAAAGGCTTTAACATATATGACAGAATGCGTGAAATCTGATGGGGAGTTTATGGGGGGGGTTGCAGATAGGGGAAAGGGTCTAAATATTATTAAGATGTATTGTGTGAAATACACAAAAAACCAATAAAATATGTATTGAAAAGATAATCTAAAGGTTTTCATTATATGCATATTTAATATTAAACATGCTTATTTTTTATTATTTTGTAGTTATATATTTTAGCTAACAATCTATTAGCAAGGAAAATAAGCAAAGTTTTTCCTGTCCATGTTATTTTTTAAAGGGATTGTTCACATAAGAAACAAAGTAATAGGCAGTATTTTCTACATAATAGGAAAATTACAACAATTAACAGCCATTTCCAATAGCTCATTAATCACCAAAACTGCAAAAAATTAACCCTAACATATTAGAACTATGTCCTAATTTACAAGCATTGGACAAATGTGTAAATTCATTTAAGAAAAACACCCTATTAAACTCATGTACTTCTGCTTAAAGAATACTTTCAGAAATATTTCACCCAATGCTTTTTTGCAAAAGTAGAGTGTACATATGAAATACATAAAGTGAGGTGTATGTAGGTGCAAACTGGGCATGCTTATAGTTCTTGTATTTGGGAGGCTGAGGCAGGAGGATCTCTCATGTTGGAGGCCAGCTTGAGCTACATAGCAAGACCCTGTCTCAACGAAAGAAAGAAAAGATACACACAGATGCTCATGGATTTACATAAATGTAAATATGAGCCACTGAAAAATACTTGTACAAATTTAAAGAATCTTTGTGCTCTGATTTTAAAAAGATTTTGTTCTTTTTGGTAGTACTAGAGATTGAACCCAGGGCCTTTTGTCTATGCTAGCAAGTGTTCTACCACTGGCTATATCCTCAGCTCCTCATATTGTAAATTTTTAAGAGTCCTACCAATGAATTGAATCTCAGAAGGTTATTCACATTATTTATATTTATAGAATTTCTCTCCAGTGATTGTTCATATAACTTAAAGTATTTGCCAAGATTAAAAATTCGTATTTTTTAAAAAAATATTCTCACATTTTGTTGAAATGTAGGTTACAGAAAGATTGAACTATTGCTCATATTCAAGGACTATCTCAACAGTGTGAATTCTTTTACAGATTTGATTTTTACTTATGACAAGAGGCTTCCCTTTCCCCATGACACTTATAGCTAATCTGTTTATCACATACTTGTTTCTGTGCTCAAAATATTGCATGACAAATGAAGGACTCCCACAATCATTTCATAACATTTATTTCCACTATGAAGCATTTCATGAGAAGGTCTGAAAACATTTATGTGTTTCCCCAAATTCCTTTTATTTATAGGATGTCTATCCAGCATAAACAAATACTGCTTCTGTTTGAAATCAAAACAACTGAAGACTAAGCCATGCTAATTACATTCATGGTATTTTCCCTTTTATCTTGAGCTGAGCCATTCATGTATTAGAAATAGACTGGACAATGAAAGGTTCTCCTACATAGTTTAAGCATTATATAGCTTATTTCCCATGTGTTTCATCATGTCCTTGGACTTGTAAAGAATAAAAATGGGCAAAGGCCATCTTACATCACTTACATTTACAGGGTTTCTCTCCAGTATGGGCCTATTTATGGATCTGAAAAGTACTATAACGTACAGAACTTGCATTTATTAGGTGTTTTAGATAGGGTTCTGTAGAGGAACAGAACCCAAAAAATGTACACACACACACACACACACACACACACACACACACACACACACAGAGGATTGATTTAGATTAGATTGCATGATAGGGCCTGGATGGATCAACAATGGCCATTAACATGCTTGGAGGCAAATAACTCAGTAGTTACTTGGTCCGCCAAGTGGGATGTCTCAGCACTGAAGACACAAAGCTCCCTGGAGAGTGTCAGGTATTGAGTCCATGATGGAAGGCTAAAAAGCTGGAGTCTAATGCCAGTGGAAGATGGCCACAGTAATGATAGGTCACTCAGGAAGAAGTGAGGGCAGGCACATTGGCTTCTCCTTGGATTTCTGTATATACGGGCCACCTGTTAGAAAGTGCCCCCCACTTTGAGGGTAGGTATCCCTTCCTCAGTTAATCCTCTCTGAAAGTCCTCTTACAGACACAATCATAACCGTATCCCTTAGGTCTTTCCGAATCCCATTATGTTGCTATCATAGCAAACCATCACATGTCCTCCCCTTCTTAATTTGACACCCAACCACACCTTATGTCACATTTAATTTCCAGTAAAGACAATAAAAGAACTAAGGGTGTAGCTCAGTTGGTAAGGTACTTGCCGAACATATATGAAACTCTGGGTTTGATCCCTAGCATCACATAAATTGGGCAAGGTAGTGCACAGTGTTAATCCTTGTACTTGAGAGATATAAGAAGAGGATCAGAGTTCAGGCTAAGCTGGCCCATAAATTTTCAGGGATTCTTTTGCCTCTGCCCCCTTCCTCACCATAAGAGTGTTGGGATTACAAATGCCCACTACCACATCCAGGGTCAAGTGGGCTGTGGGAATCCAAGGTCAGGTCCTCCTGCTTGTGTGGCAATTGCTTTATCCACAGAGAGGTTCTTTTTTATTTTCTGCATATACAATTGCTGATTTCCAAGCAACGATTAATTTCTCTTTTCTAATTCTCATACCTTATGTTATTTGTTTACATTATGATAGGTGTTTAATACAAGGAATCATTTCTGTCTTGATATAAAATTATACTTCCTTTTCATGATGTTGTCCATGTATCAGTATATCCTAACCCAGAACCATGGCATTGGCCATGTGAAGATGAAATCCAATGCTCAGAGAAACGAGAACATTCCAAGAAAGTCCTCTTTGTATAAGTAGCACCTGAAGCACAGTCCAAGGAATTGTCAGAATTTACAAGACAAGGCTGAGCATTCCAGACAGGACAGTCATACAAATGGCTTGGAAATGGTGTGAGGAAGGGGAACTTTCATCAGAGGATCTCAAAGAATGCCAGTGTAGGACCGCAATAAGGCACAATTTGGGGCTGGAGAATTGGGAACATTCCTATCACTCTGAAGTTTCTACCCCAAGTATTTGAGTATATCTTTGGCCAGAGTTATCCGTTATACGTTGGACTTGCAACATTCCATTTCATTAAATCACTTCATCTTGTGAAAAATATATAGGAGTAATTCTCAGTTTCAAAGTCATACCATAGTCTTCATAATAAGTTTAATGCTATTCTTATTAGAGTAACAAATTAAAAATGAATGCATGAAAGTTTCCATGAAAAGTTTCCGTTTGAAAAATTGTACTAACTTGCCAGACATGGTGGCTCATGCCTATAATTCCAGCACTCAGGAGACTGAGGTAGGAGTATTGTTATGAGTTCAAGGCCATCTTGGGCTGTATAGCAAGTTCGAGGCAAGTTAAAGCTACACAAAAAGACCATGTATGAAAAAAAGTTGTACAAGGTTGTCGACTAGTGTCTTTCCATGGTAAGGATACATATTCCTTTGCCATCCCTCATGGATCTCAACTGAAAGTTCTCAAAAGAAGAAATAAAAATAGCTAAGAAACACCTCAAAAAGTGTTTGCTATCCTTAGTAATTAGGGAAATGCAGATCAAAACCACTTTAAGATTCCATCTTACCTGAGTCCAACTGGCTAAGACAACAAATGATAACAAATGCTGGTGAGGATGTGGGGAACGGAGAATGCTCATTCACTGCTGGTGGAATTGCAAACTCATGCAGCTATTATGGAGAGCAGTGTGGAGAACTCTTAAAAAACTGAAAATGAATCTACCATATGATCTGGCTATGCCACTCCTTGGCATATTACCCACAGGACTCAACCTACTATAGAGACACTTGTACATCCATGTTTGTTGCTTCTCTTTTCACAATAGCTAAGAAATGGAAACAACCTAAGTGTCCCTCAACTGACCAATGGATAATGAAAATGTGGTACATTTACACAATGGAGTTCTATGCAGTGGGAAGGTGAAATCATTAAATTGGCAGGTAAATGGACATTAACTGTTACACTAAACAAAGTAACACACACTCAGAAAAACAAACAACATATATTCTCCCTCATTTGTGGATCTTACGTAGCACCAAATTCTTATATGTGAGTATATATCGTGATGTAACTACAGCAGCCAGAAAAATGGAATGAAGCCAAGGAGATAAAGGGAAAGAAGGAACCTGAGAGAGGGATAGTAGGAGACAGGTGTTTTCAAGGGGGAAATGAATAAAACGGGGGTACTTTAACTGGGGAGAGAGGAGGAAGGTTTAGACAGGGAAAGAGGAGAGATTAATAATGCTTAGGTGGTGTGAAAAACCAGAGGGAAATGAATTAGTTTAAAAGCTTACTGAAAAATGCATACAGTATCTGTACATGAGTGCATGTGTTACATACCAAGAAACAGTGCCAGACAGGAGAAACCTCCCTCTAAATTGTTGGTCAGGGCAGTCCAAGGGATTCCCAAAATTACACAGCCTTGATGATCTCCTAGAACCTAAAGGTAAGACCTTATTGCTGAAGACAGGACACACTTTGGACACAGGAACTGGAGCAATGGAGCTGGAACTGACTTGGAAGCATTCTCCCTGAAGACACAGTTTTAGAGGACACTATGCAAGCAGCCAAGGGAGAACATCAATCAGTGGTCCAACTCTAGCTTTAAATCCTAATAACTATAACAATGACTGGCACAGCAAAATGTATTGGTGCAGTAGTGGCACTTTTATCTATGGGGTAATCAACAGCTGCCTAATTGAACTCAAAGCCTGCTCAGTGGGAGGGAACTAATATATGGTACTGTAAGCATAGCCAAATACACATGACTGGAGAGGTCATAGAGAAAGTCCTAAGTCTGTCACATCCCTAGACAAATATAATTTCTTACCGTATGCTAAATATAAATCCTTTATTTACAGACAAGAATGCCAGTCACCACTCATCAAGGAAGCTTCTTTTGCAATAGAGGGAGACTATTACAGAATTCCATAACTGATCACACACAGAGAATAATTGTCTATGAGATGCCCAATCCTATGTTACACATCTATAATGGAACCTCTACAGCTAAGGCTCAGGGAACACAGTGGAACAAGGGATAGAGTGTTTCTCAACTCTCATCACTGAAGCTCCCTCATGCAACAGGGGGCGAGGAACACAAAAGGCCACAACTGACCAATGTGAGGAGAATAAGATTCTACAGAGTGTGGATCCCTGGATAAGACTCCTAAATTAAACTCACCCACCCAGGGTTCAGGGTTCATTGCAGAAGAGAGGGTAAAATGATTGTAAGATCCAGGGGAGGAGGTACATGACCATAAAGAAACAGAGCCTTACAGGCTCCTGGGACCTTGCTCATATGAACCCACAGCAACGGTGTCAACATGCACAATATTCATGCAAATGCAATTAGACAAGAAACAGCATAGAAATGGGGAAATGGGCGAGGAACTATTGGCAGCTGATCACTGCTGGGTGAGGGAGAGTTGATCTTTAAGGGAGTGTTGCTAGACAGACTGAAGAGGCTCCAGTGAATGAACTCATACCAAAGGACATCTGGGTATACAAACCTGACTCAATGGGCCTTAACATATATGACAAAATGCATGAAGTCCCAAGGGCAGAATATGGGGGAGGGGCAGAATATGGGGGAGGGGGAGATAGGGAAGGGGAGGCTAAATATGATTAAGATGTATTGTGTGGAATTCACAAATTTTAATAAAATAGATTTAAAATAAAAATAAAGTAATATAGTTAATGAATGAACATCAGGAACAATAATTTCTTCCTTACATCTCTCCTTTGAAACAGTGACCATCCTCTTTACAAAGATAAGAAGATAATATCTGCTCAGAATTATAAAAACTCACCTCATATTGATAAATGCTGCCTGTGGAATGAAAAGAACGAAGTGATCCCACTTAGATTAGAGGTCACGAAAGTTTCTCTGGGGAAGGATGCTTACACAGATACCAAACAGCTAAGAATGAATCTGAACATGCAGTGTGATGATGGTTCTTACTGTGAACTAAACATACACGAAGACAGAGGTTGAGGGAGGACATGGCGCATGGAAGTGGCAGAACCATGTTCGTACATCTTGGGTTTAACATACAAAAACATGTAGAATGGTGAGAGATGGGGATGGAAAGTTCCACCACCATGTTTCATGGAGGCTTTACCAGGTGAGTTTCATTCTAAAGGCAGCAGGGGATTGCTCTGTTCTGAATTTGTGTTTGGAAGATAATGCTTTGCACAGTGCAGATGCCAGATTGGTAGGAAGGCTTTTCAAAGGAACAAGCTATTCTGATGTTTTAAGCAATAGAGTATCTTGGTTTGAACCAGAGAAAAGTCAAAGCTCATGGTGAAAAATAATCTGATTCCTAAGAATTTGAGGAGCTAAAATGAAGAGGACTTGGTGGCTAGATGAGGGTTGGAAGGCTGGTGGGAATCCAACTGAGATCGTGGTTTCTACGGCTTAGTCAACAGAATCATTTCTATGACAAGGAACTGAATTTGGATTGAGGATCAGAGATAAAGGGCTAAATAAGTAGTGAAATCAGTGAGCTTTGAAATAGAATTTGTTCCAGTCTTCTGTGGTGGTAGGACTGTCACCAAGATGCAGATTTCCATAAAAATCCCTTAGAAGGCCATTGCACTCCAGGCTGAAATCTCAGGCACTGTAGAGAATGTGAGACTCTTGATCCTGGAGGAGGAAGGAGTTCCTTCTGATCAGCGCCTGCTAATCTTTGCAAGTAGAAAGTAGATGTTCTTTGACTACAGTGTTCAAGAGGAGGCTGCCCTTCATCTTGTTGCTGATGGTATTTAGAAAAGGAAGAATCTTACAATGCTCCTTAGAAGAATAAGCAAAAGAGAAAGAAGGTGGCCGTCCTGAAACACTGTTCTGTGGGTGAAAATAGCAAAAGCAGTCACTGGTGTGGAGAGTGCCCTTCAGATGAATGTGGTGCTTGAGTTTATTTATGGCCAGCCACTCTGACAGACATGTCAGACATGGAGTTGTCACACTGTTGCCTCAACAATTGTGTATGAGTTATTAGAAGACATGGACTGAAAACATGCTGATCTTAGATGTTGAACCCGAGGTGTTCACAGGACTTCTTAACTTCAGGAGAGTAGCCTGGCCTGTTTTGGTGATGGAAGCTGAGGGAGTAAGTAAAGTTGCTCAAAGTGATACATGGAGGGAGAAGACAGAAGCTCTGCCTGGGCCACAGTCTTGAACAAGCCCACCAATAATGTGAGAGGTCAAGGGCAGGCGGCCTCTTTACTAATTCCATCTTGTCACCTTTATTTGTACTCAATCTCTCCTAGCTCTGAAATTCCCACATTGAAATACACAAACCACCGCAGAGAAGCCATCAAGCCCTTGTTCACTCCTGTTCATACAGAAGCATCTCAAGAGTGGTGGGCATCCACTTTCCCATTTCGTCTCAGCCCCGCCCCTTCCCGGTCTCCCTCTGCTACGATTAAGATTCTGCCACCCACCCCACTGCAACAGTTGTAACCCAGGACTTTTTATTTTTAGTCTTTACGTTTTTCCTTTTCAACTTATTTCCTTCCTCTGGCTTTTGGACATTATCACAGTGGGATTTCCTGCTGCATAATTGTCTCTTCCGGTTGTTCAAATACTAAGGAGAACAAAAATTCACCAGAGAATTGCTAGGGTGTTATTTTTCACAGCACACCGAAGCCTAGGTGGGCATAAGGTCAGGCGGGCCTAAGCGTTTCATTCAAACCGCTATTCTACACTGTCTCATTTTCCGAAGGACATGAGAGCTGTGATTGGCCACACGAGGAGGAAAGCGTTGTCTTGAGCTGGAAGTAGAGAGGAAGAAGCGACTGGAAGCACAGTGCAGCGGAAGAGCTCAGATTCCATCCAGAAGTAGCTTCTTGGTTCTTGACATTTCTTCATCCTTGCAGAGATGGCCTTGTGGTCGCAACCAGGCTGCGGTTCCCTTATTTGGACACAAGAGGGCAGCATCAAGAAGCGAGAGGCAGCGCCTAAAAGCATCTGAGCTCAAGTGCAGTTTTCTGTATTTTCTGGTGCCTCCTGCCTAAACCATCAGTCCAGGAGTTCCTCTTTTCCATCCCCGTCATTCCTCTTCCCTCTTCCACCTCAGGAGCTCCATGGTCTCCCTCTTACTCTCCTAAAAGGTCTTAGAGGAATTGGGTAGGAGTGAGGGCTCAGCTGTCCTCGGGGTTTTGAGCAGACCATTGGTCCCAGTTCAGTGATCTCTGCTGGCACTCCCTAGGGCCTCAGACAAGCTATATACGGGCAGCGGCATTGACGATGAACATGCCAGTCTAGGATCAGTGAGGGGTGGCAAGGAGAGGTTTGTCCTGGCTTTGGGAACTCCATAGAGATTGTGCAGGGCATGGAGGGTGCATTTGGACAGCCTGGCTGCTTGGAGAGGTCTGTCAGTGAGCAGCAGCCCTTCCAGATTACAGTAGCTTGAACCTGAGACTGTTTAGTGACCTGCTACGAGAGGAATTTCTTCAAGCCTCTGTGAGGCCTGTTCCAATTATTACCTACCTCTTGGGAGGACTCTCCAGTTCCAGCTTTCTGCCCTTTGCTTAAGAAGCAAGTCAAGAGGAATTAAATTACCAAGAAAAATGTAAAGTGTGTGTGTGTGTGTGTGTGTGTGTGTGTGTGTGTGTGTGTGTGTGTGTGTGTGTGTGTGTCTGTCTGTCTGTCTGTCTGTGTGTCTGTGTGTGTCTGTGTGTGTTTGTAGTGATTGATAATGAAGGAGGAAACTGAGAAGCTGGGCTGGGAAGTTTGATTCTCACTGTGAAAGGCTTTGTATATAGAGTGTAGAGTTCTGACTTTGTCTTGAAGGTGAGTGGAATCACCTATCATGCTTATAAATTGAAGCCTGACACCTCCAGGTATGCTTTTCGGAGGCAATGGTGTGGAAGGTGAATTGCAGTGGGAACATAGACTTGGAAGGGATCTTATTTGGGGCAAGACAAATGTGAGACCCCATAGCCATTAGGGTAGAATCGTCACATAAATGGTAGGTTCTATGGCTGGACTTCAGAGGGGTCTGTGTAACAGAGGGGTCTGTGTAGAGGGAAGACAGTTGAGTCTAGAATGGCATGAGCTCAACAGGGAGAGCAAGCAGAAGAAGGGGGGCATGCCCATGGCCACCAGAAAGCAGCGACAGCCACACTCACCAATTCTCTTTCTGAATCTCTACTGCTTCTAGCTTCCACGACCCAATCCAGCCAAACACAATTTGGGATCAACCCTCACTTGGTGACCTGGAATGAGCGTTTTCCTTCACCTCTATCTCCACACTCCCTAGAACACCAGAACAGGTTTTCTTAATTTTCTATGATGGAAAGCCATCACCTAGGGAAGAAGGACTCACTTTTATTTAATTTTTTATTTTTAAAATTTTTTTAAGGACTCACTTTTAAATACAACTTTCTGATTTCCTTAATCAAAAATTGGTTCTCTGGGCTTGGTGAACTAGGCTCTGGTGGACAGTGTTTCCAACTACTTCAGATAATTAAAAATATTAAATTTATTCATTCTTGGAGAATGTCATATATGTATACAATGCATTTTGATCATATTTCCCTTCATCTGTCCCTCCAACTTCTCCCAGATCCCTCCAGATCCCAACGTTGTATCAGAGAATTTTGTTAGAGGAGTTTGAGAAATGCCATAGAGACTTAGAATCCTGTGCTTTGAAAGCCAGTCCAGAGAGAGGTGGGGTCCAGAAGCACCAGGAGCACATAGATCTTTAAAAATTCATTATTTTTACTATCACTGCTCCAATGTCTTTTCCTTATACGTTGTTTCTCTTTTCTGAAGCATGACTATATAAGTTTCTCCTTTTTTCTCCTCTAGTCTCTGGATCTGGGATGCAGAAGCCACAGCTCCTGGTCCCCCTCAGGGCTACTCCAAATGGAAGTCTGGTTCATCCGGCCTATTTCCTACTGGTAGGCATCCCTAGCCTGGGACCTAACATCCACTTTTGGCTGGCTTTTCCCTTGTGTTTCATGTATGCTGTGGCCACTCTGGGCAACCTGACCATCATCCTCATTATTCGTGTGGAGAGGCGCCTGCATGAGCCCATGTACCTCTTCCTGGCCATGCTCTCCAGCATTGACCTGGTCCTCTCCTCTGTCACCATGCCCAAGATGGCCAGCTTGTTCCTGACTGGCATTCAGGAGATCAAGTTCAACCTTTGTGTGACCCAGATGTTCCTTATCCATGCTCTGTCAGCCATGGAGTCCGCTGTCCTGCTGGCCATGGCTTTTGACCGCTTTGTGGCCATCTGCTACCCATTACGCCATGCGTTTGTACTCACAGGGCCTACTGTGGCCATGATTGGGCTAGGTTCTCTGACCAGAGGGTTTGTCTTCTTCTTCCCACTGCCCTTCCTCTTGAAGCGGTTATCATACTGCCGAACACACACCGTCACACACTCCTTTTGTCTTCACCAAGATATTATGAAGCTGTCCTGCACGGACACCACAGTCAATGTAGTTTATGGGCTCTTTATCATCCTCTCTGTCATGGGTGTGGACTCACTTTTCATTGGCTTCTCCTACATCCTTATCCTGAGGGCCGTGTTGAAGCTGTCCCCTCGAGGGGCAGCACTCAAGGCTTTCAACACCTGCATCTCCCACCTCTGTGCTGTCTTGGTCTTCTACGTGCCCCTCATTGGGCTGTCAGTGGTGCACAGGCTGGGTGGTTCCACTTCCCTTGTCCATGTGGTTATGGCTAATATCTATCTACTGTTACCACCTGTAGTCAACCCCATTATTTATGGAGCCAAGACCAAGGAGATCCGTTCAAGGGTCATCCATATATTCTCACAAGATATCAGGTGAGGAGGATACCCTGCCTGGCCTTGAATAATACCGAAGATGACAGGATGAAGCTCTGCAGAATGACTTGGCAATTGCAGCATCCAACCTACTGGTTGTCTACTTTTAGTTATGTAAATGGATAGACCTTGTATTTCTATCTCTAAGAATGTGTCAACACAGAATTTATGACCATCTTGGAGAATAGACTGCCCTCTGGTCTCTGTAATACCTCTGCCATTGTTCTTCCTTCTAACTAGAAAATACACATAGTTTTGACATAGGAAGGTATAAATGCCACACCTGATAATTCATTAGTTGTGCTGTATGATTTTAAACTGTCCTTGTTCTCATGCACTCATGTCAGTGAATCTGTGTTAACTGTATAATTTATTACTTGTCCCTGAGAGTGGTTACATAATCATAATTAAAGGTTAATGAAGACATTGTGGGGGGAGGCTAGTAATTGTTAGGCATATATAACAGAAGATGAGACAGTTGACATGAAATGTTTAAGTTTCTTTATACATATGGGTATAGTTCTGTGGACTCTCTCAATGTCAAACTGTGTGGTTTTATGAAGATTATTACTCCCATAGGGATTCTGTTTATTTTGGTTTTGAGTGTATATGGGTATATTTATGAGAGGTAAAGAGAGAGAGAGGGAGAGAGAAAAAGAGAGAGAGAAATGGAATGAATACATAGTAGTTGTGTCCTGGTGAATGTGGTGGCTGTGCTCTGAACTGTGTGTGTTAAGAACGATTAATATCATTGCTGTTGCTCAGCTGGTGTGTGTTATACATCTGGATGAGAGTGCTGGGCATCTGTATGGTGAGAAGTATATTTGTGAGTGTTATCTTTTTCTCATATTTGTTACTTGTAGAATGTGGTGCACAAATGTGTGGGATGTGTAATGTGATTGGGATAGCTGACAGTTCAGTACGTGTGCTGTTTATCTTTCAGCATGTGTCTATCGTGCGTAGTATTTCTTACATGAATGTAGTTACTGCAGTGCATATATGTGTGCATGTGTCTGTGCTGTGTTGTGATGAGTGCACTTCAGGGCATATTCCTGGTACAAAGGTTTGAGGACATTTTCTTTTTGCATTGGGTATGGATTATGTAGAAGAAGACTGACACAGATTTGGAATTTTGGGACTGATGTCTCTGTGTGGAGCTGTAGGGAGGGGGTGCATGGATGTAGTAGATTAAAGTCTGGTTGTGAGAAACAGAAATAATTTTCAATACTAAAACATGTCTTTAGGAGACCTGAAGCTTTGGTTAGGCTCAGACTAACCAAAGACTCTGGAAATATTAACAAACATGGTGCTTTTCCTTTCAAAGGAGAGTCCATGCCTTTTCATTTTACCCCATCCTCTTCTCATCTTCCCTGGGTTCCTTAAGCCATGCCTTCCTGTCTCAGTACCAGGTCATAGTTTCTTTACCTCTCCCTTTCATTTCTTGCTGGTTTGCCAAACATGTTGAAAGGCTTCTGACTGTAAGTCTTTTAATCTCTTTGGGGGAAGCAAGGGCTATAAGAAGATGAAAATGTGACTCTGCTAAGGCTCTGGTGTCTGTTAAGATACATTGCGCTAAAGGTACAGTTAACGTAAAGCTTTTGGCATCAGGCAAAAAAGACTCACACTGAAGAATTATAGATAGAAAAGAACTTAGATTAAGACAGTAAATAATGTTGAGATAGAACTTAAAGATTAAAAATTTGGAACTATAATAAAGCGGCATATGTTTTTGAAATTTCTTATTTTATGTGTATGACTGTATTGCCTGCATCTATGTAAGTGCACCGTGTTGTGCAATGCCCACGGAGGTCAGAAGAAGGCATTGGATTGCCTGGAACTGGAGTTATGGACAGTTATTAACCACCATGTGGATGCTGGGAATTGAACCCGGGTTCTCTGCAAGAGCAGTCAGTGCTCCTAATTGCTGAGCCATCTTTCCAGTCCAAATAAAGTGGCATATTTTATCATCTCTCTCCACCTCATTTTCTCATGTGTACAGTAACCAACTATGATGTCAGTGATGTTGTGACACTTAAATAATTTTGCCATCCTTTGTAAACTGTGAAGTATTATCAGCATGCAGCAGATGATCACCTGTATGCCGTCTTATTGTACAAGTTTTGGAAGCACCATTTACTTCTCGGTCCACGTGAACAATGCTCTGGAATTTTGCAGTGTGTCACCATTGTGGTCATGGTTGACTGTCCTGGTTTGTTGTTATTGCCTAATAAAATAAAACCCTTCTATATCTTTTGTAAAAAACATTTTATTAATTATTTGAGAATTTCATATAATGTGCTTTGATCATATTCACCCATCCTTCCCCATCCCCTCTCAGATGAACCTCCACCTTCCTACCCACCCAACATTGTGTTCTTTTCTTTTGAAAGCCCACTGAGTCCAATTTGTGCTGCCCGAATACTCTTTGGTGTGGGTCAATCCTTTGGAGCATGGTTGACTTACTGGTGATCATATCCTAAAGAAAACTGACTCTCCCTCTATCCACAGCTATCAATTGCCAACAGCTCCTCAGCTACAGCTGGGACGCCATGCCTATTTCCCTGCTCCATGCTGGGATTATGTCTGGCTTGAGCTTGCAAAGGCCTTGTACACACTTTCACGTGAGTTCATATGAGCAGCTGGCCTGATGTATCTAGAAAATACTGTTTAATTTTAGTCATCCACCTCTGGCTCTTATAATATTTCCACTTGTCTTCCTCAGTGACCCCTGATTCTTGGGGAAGGAATGTAATATAGATATCCAATTTATTTTTTAAATATTTTTCATTCATTATTTTTATTTTATGTATGTGTGTGTGTGTATTGCCTGCATGTAGGTAAGTGCACCCGTGTCGTGCAATGCCTGAGGAGGACAGAAGAGGCTGTTGGATCCCTTGGAACTGGAGTTATGGACAGTTGTTAGCTGCCATGTGGGTGCTGGGATTCGAACCCGGGTCTTCTGCAAGAACAGTCAGTGTTCTTAACCACTGAGCCATCTCTCCAGCCCCTAGATGTCCAATTTAGAGGTAGCACTGTGAAGTCTCTTATTCTCTGCATGTTGACTAGTTGTGAGTCTCTGTGTTAATCACTATCTCCTGCCAAATGAAGCTTCTCTGATGAGGGTTGAGAGTTGCACAAATGTAGGACGTATTGTTATATAACAGACATCATTAGATATCAGTTTAATACTATATCCATTTAGTAGAATTACAGTAGTAGAACATTCTCTAGGATCTATGACCTATCTAGCCACAGGTTCTTGGACCTGGTAATAGTGCCAGGTATGGTTCCATTTTATGAAACAGGCCTTAAATCCAATCATGGTATGTATTGATTACTCCTATGACAGTCACTATTGTACTATTGCACCAGTGGGCATATTGTCACAGCCCAGATGTTACTGTGTTTTGCAGAGGTCACAACTGGAAAAGATTAATGAAAATAGCCTAGAAAACATATTGAAATAAATGTAATCAAGAAATTGAAAGACTTGTATAATAAAAATTTTAAGACACCAAATAAAGAGATTGAAGAAGATCTCAGAAGATGGGTGGATCTCCCATGCTCGTGGATCAGTAGGGTTAATATTGTGAAAATGACCATCCTACCAAAAGCCGTCTATAGATTCAATGCAATCCCCTTCAAAGTTGTAATTTAATTCTTCATGTAAATTAAATTTCATATGCAAACACAAAAAATCCAGGATAACCCAAACAAACCTGAAGAATAACAGAACTGTGGGAAGTATCACAGTCTTGATTTTAAGTTATACTACAGAGACATAGAAATAAAATCAGAATGGCATAAAAACCAGCACGGCATGAAAATCACAATGATCAATGGGCTAGAATTGAGGACCTACATACAAGTCCACACTATTACAGACGCTTGAATTTTTACAAAGGAACCAATAATACTCATTGGAGAAAAGACAATATATTCAACAAATGGTGCTGGTCAGACTGGATAGCTACATGAAGAAGAATGGAGCTATATATAGATCTGTCACCCTGGTTAAAAATAAACTTCAAATAGATTAAGGTTCTCAGCATAAGAACTGATACCTTGAATCCAATAAGTAGGGAATGCACTGGAACTTATAGATACAGGAAAGGATTTTCTCTACAGGACTCTGTTAACATAGGCATTAAAAATAAGAATTGACATAAATTGGTTTATCTGGGCCAACTGTATGGTCTTAAACACCCAAAAGGAAAGTATAACCAAAGATTAAAGGGGCCAATATAATTTCATAAGAGTCCATATGTATAGCTAAAGGCTACATAACAAGCAACAATGCCAGACAGGAGATACCTTCTTTTGAGTTGTAGGCCAGGGTGGCCCAAGGGACTCCGAGACAGTAACCCAGCATAGAACTGGGAAAATGAACAGCAGACCCCAATCTTGTCTAAAGGAATATTAACAACTGATTGCTGCTAGATGAGGAACAGCTGATCTTCCTAAAACAAGGATCTCTAGACAGGCTGACTAGATTCACCGGATGGACAAGTACCGGGGAATGGCCAGGGGTGCCGACAACACAGCAGACAGTAGCAGGGATGACAGAGTATAAGGGC